ACTGGGAACCCAGCTCCTCGGTGAGTCAGTGAGGAGAGAGCTGGGCTGGGAGCCAACCCACTGTGAGCAGGGAGGCGACAGGTCCTTTTGCAGCCAGATATGTTTTCTGAATATTACTTGCAGTCAGTACAAAAATACATTTATTTAAAAAAAACCCTTCTTAGTCTCTTTTCAATTTATAGCAAAACCCCCTTCCAGAACAGGATGCAGAGAAACCACAGGATTCATAATCTTTCTCTGATTATAAGGATACCCCTGGCTGACTGTGCCGAGCTCAGTGTAAAGTCCTGGCTACATCAGAACCGTTACAAACATGAGCAACATTCAGACCGAGAGCATGGTTATTGCAGGTGCTCATGCCTTCCAAAAAAGACCACTCTGCTAAAAGGCCTACATGTGGTTTCAGATGGCTAAATTTGGACAGTCTGTGTCTGACTAGTTGGTCAAAGTGGGGATAAAAGCCAACCCCAGCTCTGAAACAAATGATTTTTAGATTTCTCACAAACAGGCAGGCCAGCATTTCCTGCCCTGTTTATCTTCAGATGCAGGTTTAGTAATAGGGGGAGAAATTGTTTACGGTCACAGAGGAAGTACTTGCAAGTCCCAAGAACATACTTTGCATTTTTGCTAGACCGTACTTGTCCACTCATTAACTATGCTAGGCCACTTAACCCACTGTAACTGTTAGGGTCCCAAAATTCACACCTTAGTGTTGTACCACCCTTCCTACATAGAAAACCACAAAGTCCTTCGATTAACATTTAATACCAGTTCAAATTCCACACTTGCCCGGGTGAACTAAGACCACAGGACAGTGTCATCGTTTCTGCAGGCACTAACCTGATGGACACAAATATTACACTTGTCACAAAACACCATGTCATTCCCATCTTCACTGTCGGGGGATCGGCACACATCACAGATGACGTCTTCATCGTATTCGATACCCAAACCTTCTTCAGTCTCAATGGCATGATTCATATTCTCATGACAGTGCCGTTCCAGCACTTCAATTGTCTTTTCCATTGTGTTTTCATCCAAGGGCCCACATCCTACAACACAAAGGCAAGGGGAATTAGAGGACAGTCAGGTGCTTCTGAGTCAGAGATGCAGGAAGAAAGGAAGACAACTTCAATCAGCTAAAGCAGTAGACACAGCATCTTCTCTCCCATCACACATACTAAAAATACAAAACCTTTTTCACTCACTGACTAATTGTAACATTGTTTTATATATAAGTAGAACTACTACTGGAGTAAAAGTTTCAGTTGTACATAAACCACAAGACTGCACCTTGAAGAAAACACTGCAGCATAGAAGACAGACAGCAATTGATGTAACTGATAGCTGCTCCCATACAACCCTTTCTGCACTTCCATCAAGAAATACTAATGACACCCAAAATCACACACAATGTTCTTTCAAAATTACAAACAATGTTCTTCTGAAAGCTCAGTAAGAAATAAGGACACTTCATAACATAAAGATACAGAAGTTGCACCACCCAGTACTATCCAGTGCAATACTTGAGTGATCAAAGCATGATGGTTATGAAGAGTGCTTTTTTTTTTGTGTTGGTTTTTGTAAAAATAAAATAGATAAATACACTGTTGGAATCCATACTATTTGTTTCACTCGATACTGCACATGCTACATACACTTACCACTAATCAAACTTCGCATAAGCAGGACCACTTAAAAAAAAAAGATACACTCTGCAACTGTTGCTCAGCTTGAAGCTTCAGGATGTTCACAATTAAAAGAAGTAAAGAATCATTCCAGTGGGAAGGGACCTTCAGAGGGCTCCAGCCCAGTCCATGGCTCCAAGCAGAGTCAATAGTAAATCCAGACAAGGTTGTTGCTCAAGAGACAAGTCTAGTCAGATTTGAAAGTCTCCATGGATGGAGGTCTGTCTCCCCCTGAAAAGCTAAGAGCATCCGTCTATGCCTGGGATGCTAGTCCTTGCTTCCACCTCTTACATACACCCTTTGGCTCTGGAGTTCAGTCATGAGTTCCCTCCTTCACCAAGCAATTCTGACACATCTCCTTGTTTTCCTGAATCTCTGGATGGATCTTGTATGTGCTCAGAGAAGAGTCTCCTTAAAGTTCTCCTAGCTCTCTTCAGTAGTTCCAGTCTTCAAAGCTGTCTCTCAAATCCCACCTGTTGGTTACCTAAGTAGAAACCTGCTTTCCTCAGGTCCAGGACCAGAAAGCCATTTCCTCTTCTCACTCCCCTCAGGATCTCAGTCACCACTATTTCATAGCTATTACAGACAATGTTGCCATTAGCTATCACATCCAACAGGTTCTTCCAAATCCTAGAGATGCCAAATAGCTCCCTCCCTCTTTTGCCCACCTATCCTTCCTAAAGGACCTGCAATCACCCATGGAAGAATGCTAGCCATACAGGCTATACCACCACAATTCAGTTATTTCTGTGATAATTCCAACGTAATTTCTATTGCTCACTCCCCCTACAACTAGACCTCTAGACCTACAACTTGCATGAAAAAACAAAGATTACGTAGCTGATTTTAAATGGGCTAACATGTGTGAAAACTTAATTGCTCTGTTAAGAACCCAGCATGCAAGCTCCTGAGAACTCTGAATTTGCAGCAATAATATGTCTAAGAAATGGAAACATCTGCTTTCCCATTTCTATTGCTCACTCCCCCTACAACTAGACCTCTAGACCTACAACTTGCATGAAAAAACAAAGATTACGTAGCTGATTTTAAATGGGCTAACATGTGTGAAAACTTAATTGCTCTGTTAAGAACCCAGCATGCAAGCTCCTGAGAACTCTGAATTTGCAGCAATAATATGTCTAAGAAATGGAAACATCTGCTTTCCCTTCACCTAAAATTGATTAAACCTGGTATGGGCTTTTTCCTCTCCTGCCTCAGTCTGCAAGAGTTGCACATGATTTTGGATGTGAAGAAGTTTTTAGGCACAACAGGTAAAACAGAAAACATTAACAGATCAAGCGAGTAATTACTTGAGGCATTTTACCTCCTGTTAGCATTTCCACTCATTTCTCTTTCAACAATCTTTGAGAGACCTCACACAGCAGACTACAGAAATTACAATGTGTTGTGAAATTACCCATTTCTGTAAGCTCTTCATTTAGCTCTTGAAGCCAAAAGATGTCCATGTCATCCAAGTCATAGCGACACACAGATTCTGCCAGTTCCAAAATGTTGATGTAACCTGGTTCTGTGGGCTCCTGGCTGGAGCAGTGGATGTATTTCCTGGGTCGTGTATAGAGTACTTCTTTCACTTTTTCTGCTACAACCCTAGAGCGAAAATTTAAAAAAAAGAAAAAAAAAAAAAGGAAATAGTTACAGCTTTTTAAGAGACTCATCCTTGAAAGACATGAAATATTTGCTCTAAGTGCGAAGAAACCTAGTGTTTCACAGATTTTAAACTAGACAGTAAGTGTAGCCAGGCTAGGGAGACAGGATTCTGTCAATGTCATTTTCTCACACAAAATGTGCTAAGGTTTGCTATGTACACAGAATCCTTTTTAAAATGTAAGCCTATGCTTATGATTTTCAATTTGACGAATGCTACTAGTGCAACAAAGCAAGTGTTTCTGAAACCCACAGGAAGCATTCTGCACAAACCACTACAATCTTTGTTCTATATTCTTCCTCAATGGCAGAAAGAAATCTTGCCAACTGATTTCTTGAAAATACCAGCTTTTTCACAAAGCCTAATTTATTCTGCTGTAGTGTCTGTGTGTGAGGAAGAAATGCTTGCTCTTGGAATACACAGTCTACCCTTATTTTGTCAACGACGCTTTATCCGCATTATAAATCCATTATTTTTGTTATGCAAGAAACATTCTGATGCCAAGCAAAAATGTAAGGAGGAAAAAATCATCCAAGAAGCAAGGGAAGGAAAAAAAAATAAATTTGTGCTTTCAATCTTTCAGCTATTTCCAGAGATAAAACTCAGTGTTTGATTAGCGTGATTTCACAATGGAAAGAATGATCCTAGCTAGATAAAGTCAACCTTTCTCTGAATGCAATGCAAAAGGCCCTGCATGTGAAAGGAAGCCAGGGAGATACAGAATGGAACAGTGCCATGCATGAGCAGCTCTGCATGCCTTCTGGAGCTAACCCTCCACAGGACAAGGAATAGGGAAAAACTGAGGAAAATAAGGCAGCTAAGGAGGAGGAGGTGGCAGTGAAGCTGTATCCCTCATAATTCTTGCTGGACAATGCAGGCTGTCAATGTTAGCACAAACAATGTTCTCCTGCCATTCTTCCTTCCCCCTTCACACTGCTCATTTTTTCCTCTCATTCCCTTGTGAGGTTTTCTTTTCTCCGGTCCAGCCAAATCTATAGCAATTTTTTCCTTCTAATATAATACTGCTGGTATGAGATGCAATATATTTATTTTTAATAACTTGGTACTGACAATAGCCTCAGTGGAAATTAAATTACACTGGCATCAGCACTTTCACTGGACAATTCATTTATCTTTGTCTTGAAGACCACGCTGGCAATAGCATTTCTATGTTGAAACACGCTCTGTTTCCACAAGGAAGGGTTACAGGACTACAGGGCTATGTTTTCCTAGCCTAAGCACAGTGTGAGAGAACAAAAGATTATTTATCTCCTGAAACTGAGATCACTGAACTCCTGTACTGTTAAGCAGCCATTTGTGGTAAAAGAAGGCAGAAGGGGTTAAAGCTCTGGCAACAGTACCCAAACTTAAATTATATGAACAAACAAGTCACTTTATCAGGTATCAGTAACTACCACATGCCTAGTGCTCTATATCATCATGTTTCATAGGGAAACCTTTCAAGTAACATGTATAAGATATGGGTTTATTTTTAATTTACTCATCATACTCAGATGAAAAAAATAGCTTTTAATCCATAGCACCATGTGACTCAGGAAAAAAAGACGTTTTTAAACTCACAATGTAGATATTGTAACAGTGTACAGACAGAACCAGATCTGGACCGAAGTACCACAGAAATGTTTTCCAAATTGGCACTGGTGAGGTTTAGGAACATGCCTGAAGGCTGCTGCATTGAAGATTTAAAATGTAACCGCAGAGCAAAGCTGACTGCATTTAGACAGCCTGTTTCTGAGAGACCATCTTCTATGAACTGACATTTTGTGCACATGGTAAGTGTCTGACCACCCTTACCTGAGAGAAGGCTGTGGAATAGTTTCTGGACTGGCTGGAACTTGAACCCCTTTCTCCCATTCTTGTTTCCACGTGTCCGCAAAGACATAATATTCATCAGGGTTGACATGGTGAGAATCTGGCAGTTTCATGGCACTAATCAGATCCTTGCGGAACACCTGCAGGAAACAAGAAGAAACAGGGAAAG